TTTCCTCCTCTTCTCTTCCTTCCTCCCTCCCTCCACTTCTTGGTCTTCTTTCCCTTTGTAAAAGATCTATCTTCTTGTTTCCTACTATCTTTTACTTTGCTTTTTAACTTATTTCTATTTTGGGTTTCTCATATAATACAAATCGTGGTATATTGAAGCTTTTGGTCTGGTTTATCTCACTTGATGCTGTGATCTCAGTTTATCCTTACCCATGGCAGAGCAGTGCCACGTGGTGTGTAAACACCATCTTCATTTGTACACTCATCTGGACACCACGTCTGAGATTTAGCTATTGTGAGTTGTGCTGCGATGAACGTTAGTACAAAGGTGCCACTCTAGTGTCTCTCACTCTGCTGGGGAGAGACAAAGAAGAGGAATAGCTGGATCGAATGGAATTTCTAGTTTTCGTTTTTTGAGGAATTTCAATACTGATCTCCACAGTGGTTGTACTAGCTTGCATTCTTATCAACAATGTGGAAGAGTTCCCTTCCTTATAGTGCAGAGAATTCTGAAGGAAGTTTATTCAAGTCAGCCAGTTCCTACAGATGCTGCAGCAGTCTTTCAGTGTTACACTTAAATTTTAATTTTTATGTTTTTATATGTGGATATGTATACATTTCTTTCACAAATGTTTTCTTAAATAAAAATCTGGACTATAAATTCATTAAGATTAAAAGCAGTCTGTGTTTTTCTTAACAGTATCTCTACCTGTAATGAATGAGTTCTAAGTGTACAAACTCATATCTTATTGGGATTTTTCTCATATTTCTAGGAATTTTCAGTGGATCCCTGCTGAAGAACTTATACATATTAAAATAATACTAAAATTTTATACAAAATTATAATTTTATCTATTTCTGTGGTATACAAAAGCAAGATCCAACAAAAATAATGCAAAATAGAAAAGGAAAAAGAATGGGGGGTGATTTTTTTCTTTCATTTTCATTTGTATCCTTTACTCCCACTATTAAAAACCTTACACTGGTATATTATTTTATTCATTCCCTCCTCATTTTGCACTTTAGTTTTCTTCACTTGATATGTTTGTGTTAATGACTGGTGGACTAGTACTTTCCCGCTCAGGACATGTTGTAAAATGTGTTCCCCTCCAGAACACTGAGGGGTCAGGATGTGCGGCATGTGGGTATATAAGACTGGGTAACTGGTGACATCTATGGAAGCATTCATTATTTCGGTGGATGCTTATTTAACCAGTAAGGGCCAGGCTCTAAAATGCTGCAGTTATAACGTGAAGAAGAGATGGACGTATTGCAGTTCAGATGCATTCATGGAGACTATAAGGATCACACGAATCTCTGACGCAGCCGAGATCGCTCTGTCTCACTCACCAAAGCCTCCTTACTTCCTGCTGGTGGACCCGGCTCCACTGACCACCTTTTCCTCTCCTGTAGAATTCCTTGGCATCCATGCTCTGTTCCTAGTCTAAGCGGATCTGGTAACTTCTGAACTTTTTCTGAACTTTTCTGCCACTGTGAGTTTGCTCATGCTCATCATTCAACGCAATATGTGCTGTCTGTGTATCAAAAGTCTGTCCGTCCTGTAAGGCCTGTGTCTGTATGCTGCTGCTGTCTTTGTTTACTTTGCCTCAGCATATATATATATATATACCTTTGTGTGTATATATATATATATATACACACACGTTATATATACCTTTGTGTATATATATATACACACATAATATATATATGTGTGTGTGTGTATTACACATTTGTGAGTTTCCTTAACAGGTCCTGTGCACACACACATGCATATACACACACACACACACACACACACACACACACCCTCTGGAATGTAATAACCCACTAAGCAAGCAAATAAGCAAATGTGAACTCCTGCATAACCCTACAGAATCTGGAATTGCTTTTCACTCCACTTGGAACAGAGGGTATGTGCCATGCAAATACTGAATACGTGCATTTGATCCTCAAAGTCTAGTTCAAAAACATTTCATTTCATTTCTTTACCAAACTCAGAATTTGACAATCACATGAAAAGAAAATAGACAAATTAATAGGAAAAAATCCAGTATGTTAAGTGTCCAATAGACAAGGGCACAGGAAATTTATAGGAATATTGCTGAATCAGGTGAGTTAATGAATAGAAGAAAGAATGGATATGTAAATGAATGATTTATCTTAATTCTCAGAATTAAATTCTCCAAGCAGATAAATCAGCTCCATAAACTGAGGTAACTAGTCTGTGTCCTACCCTTTCCTTTCACGGCGTTCTCTGATGAGACCTGGGCACACGCTGTTTAACTCTAGGGAGTTCACGCACCTGCTTTCTGGGACGCTAACTCTCAGCGTCGCCGTGTGGACAGAGGTGGACTTGTTAAAATCATTAATTTGAGAATTTATAAAAGTCATGCTTAAACAGAAGATCAGTGTCATTAAAGACAGATAAAAATATAACACATGCCTCTGTTATCTTGTTTTATTTCAGCACAGTCTAACACTTTTTTAGCTTACCTTCTTTGGTTTCATAATCCTCTTGACTAAAGAAGCTGCCTTGTAGAGTGCTTTGCATGATGAACCTCGGGTTTTTACCTTCCTGAATTTTTTTCTTTTCTATTTATAGTTCTTCCCACAGGAAAATTCTTTCCCTTCTGGCCTCTTTCATTTTGCCTTTTAATCATAAAAATTACGGAGTTATCTTCAGCCTGTACTTTACCAAGAATCAGCGAGTCCTCACGACCAGTAAGAAAATCTCTGGTGCTAGGAATCTCTCCCTACCTTGCCAGGGGATTTTCTGTCACAATCACAGCAGCAGTTTTCCCATCACCTTTGTCATGCTGTGTGACCTAATGAAGCACATGGTCTCCCCTTCCGTGCACAAGTCCTGCCCACGCTTAAGCTGAGGGTATGATGCAGGGCACGAACCCCAGGGAGATGTGGGTGGCAGATGTGTCCACCTAAAATTTCAACTTACTGCCTAAGTAGAGGGCAAGACTGTGGAAAAGGCAAAAGTCCAAGCTGCAGACCAGTTAAAGCATTACAGTTGTCTAAGCCAGAGCTTCTCAAAATTTTATGCTCGTGGATTTCCTGGGCATTGTGTTAAAATGCAGGTTCTGACTCTATACGGGTGCAGTGGGCGCTGACTCACCTAACAACCTTCTCTTGGGCGATGCTTCTTGTGGAGTAGCAAGGTGTAGGCGAGGGGTGGCAGTGGCTTGGGCTAGGATGGCAGTGATAGGAGAAATGGTCCGGCTAAGGATGGATTGTGAAGGCAGACCCAAAAGGGCTCTCTGAAGGAGAATCGGAAGCATCTAAATGAATTCCAAGTTTAGAGTATGGCAAGGGCTGTAAGAAGAGTTTGTTTCAGAGAAGAATTCGAGTTCAAGCTTCATATGCCAAGAGATGGATGCCAGTTAGCACCCCAAGTGGAGATGAAAGCACGACGGTAAAGAGCAGCCTTGTACATCGCATGCATTATTATCAGAGAATTAAAAATTCGTGTGTCTGGGAACCTCAACTACGTGACTTGAAATGTATTGTATTTTAAAATGTCAGCATCGAAAACGACTATTGATTCATTCTGCAGTTGGGCTCTCAGCTTCTCTAACACTGACATCGGTAAAGTAAGCAGTGTTTTTTGTTACCATGCCAAGATTCCTTACAAGCGAAATCAACATCTCATTACTCAAATCATTAAAACTATTCCTAGAAGCCAAAATGTGCATCACCATGCATATTTGAAGTACACTGTACTCACACTCTGGGAATAGAGCCAGAGTTCAAAATAAAATAAGTTTTCAACACCTATTCAGGTATACGATAGATCCCTCACTGTGAGATACATGACCTAGCTTCTCTCTGAATACATAAGCATTTTTATGGTGTGGCCAACTCTTACTTATTTGTGGGCTAAATCGCACAGATCAGCTGTGTCATATTCTGAGAGTCAGCGGTGGAGTCAGCCTTCATTGCCTTGTTTGTCACACAGCAATGATAACATTCACTAGAGTTACAGCAAGATATGTGTACTTATAATTTCCTTAAAGCTTGATCAGGTGATATCTTGACCTTACCTGTTCACATTTTCTTAGAGCAAAGCATTCAAAAGTGTATGTCCTGCAAAAATGGTGCTACTACTTGGCTGTTTTTGTAATGGCAGAAATACTAGAGTTTAAGCAGAGAAAAATTTAAGACTTTGATACGCAACATTTCAAGTGTTTTAATAAAACAGTACATATACAGCATCATCTGTTTTTAGCACTGCTTTGATGTTAATTAGTGAAACAAGGATACTGGAGATGGTTCCTGGTTTCAGGTGGGAATGAAACAAAGTCAGCACAGGGCAGTTTGGGCTCAGAGGACTGTTCATTCTGTGGGTCAGATGCGTGTTCACTGTAGACAAAAATCCTTGTAGAAAGCTCTGTTTTGTTTTTTCTTACTGTTAACAATGAGTCTTGGTAGGGTGTGTGTATATATATATATATATATATATATATATATATACACATACACATTATACGTTTCATATGAAAACGTAGAATCTAAAACAACACAACTCATAATAGCTAAATCTGGAAGTAGGCTACATGCCCATCACAGGTAATGGATAAGGAAAACAAAAATATAAGTAGACAAAAACATAAATAATTTAGAGAGCAAAATAAGAGAAAGGTGACAGACAGGAAGCAGAGGTATGCTGTGGAGCTGGAAAGGGGATCAGGCAATGAGGGGAAAGGGAGGGGAGAGAGGAAGGAAAAGTAAAGCAGATCAGGATGGGCTATGTGTGTGCAACCAGTTCCACATGAAGAATGGATTTGTTGTGAATTGCAAACATATACTAATAAAAATATTAATGGACTAATATAGTCATGATTGTTTTATGAATCGGTGCAAAGATCCTCCAATTTTCCTACTATTGTATGTAGTTTTCATGCAGTGTCTTCAGGAGTTATAATACAAAGTTAGCTTTTGTGTGGTAATTTTAGAAAGTAACTTCCTTACTTTTTTTTCTTTTCCTAGGTGCACTGAGTCAAAAAAACTGGGGAAAGAAATATCCAACATGTAATAGCCCAAAGCAGTCCCCCATCAATATTGATGAAGATCTCACTCAAGTCAATGTGAATCTGAAGAAACTGAAGTTTCAGGGCTGGGATAAGGCGTCTTTGGAGAACACGTCCATTCACAACACTGGGAAGACAGGTAAGGTGTTCGCATTCTGTTGGCCTTTAATAAGTTTTCAGACCTAGAATAAGGCAGTTTCATTTTCCTCTGAATAACTGACTATGAACTGAATAGACAGTATTGGTATAAATTTGCACAATACTTTGAAAATTTACACAAAAAATTAAATGACCAGTGCTTTCCATTGTAACAATGGTGCTGCCCCATGAAGATGTGATAAAGATCCTGTAACTGTAGATAACGTCACTCACAATGAGGTCGTCCCTGGTGGTTACACGGTCAGTCAGGGCTCCTGTATGCTGGGCGTGACAGCTGATCTTTGCTGCGTAGCCTTATGCAATATTCAGTATTTGGATATGAAAAATGTAATAATTAAAATTTAACAAAACAAGTTACTCAGCCTTCTAGGTCAAAAGTTTAAAATTCTAAACCATCCTTAGGAAATGCTTGTTAAGTTGCTCTTTTTTGAGACTATCTTTAAAAAAATACACAAAAATCTTTTTAAATTTCGTTAAGTTATATGTTAACAAAATCATTTTCAGAAAATGGTAGCCTTCCATCTTTTATATTTTATATTTTAAATAAATATATTCGGTGTTCATTCAAACCAGGGATGGCTGGGCCACCTTCAGTAACACGGGGCTTTCGTCCATCCTTCACCCAGCCCGAGGCACAGGTTCTGGACCTGATGGAGCCTGGGGTGATTGCAGGAGGGACAAGCACAGGGCAAAACCAAGTGTGCTGAGGAGCAGAAGAGCTGAGATGAGAAGGCGGGAGTGCTCCCCAGAAATACTTTTTTGCAGACCTCAGTTCTCCCTGTACTCACTCCCCTCACTGCCATTAGTACCTGAGGGAAGTGGGCATTGCACAAATGGTCCCCTGGGGACACCAACCAGTACAGGAGGACTGACTGTCTTCTGCATTCAAAACACACAGTAGTTACGGTCTTAGGCTTCCTTTACATTTATGGTAATAACATGCATTACGTATATTATGCAGGAATACAAATTTGAGCTTCCAAACTAACTGAATAGCTTTTCATATTTATCAAATAAATGATTTCCCAAATGTACCTTAAAGAGAAAAAATTTAGTTGATATTTATAATTTTTACTTTCAGACACTTAGATGAAATGTCATCCTGTTTTATTTTGTTTTACTGTAGTGGAAATTAATATCACTAATGACTATCGTCTTAGTGGAGGACTTTCGGAAATGGTGTTCAAAGCAAGCAAAATAACTTTTCACTGGGGAAAATGCAATGTGTCGTCCGATGGGTCAGAGCACAGCTTGGAAGGACAGAGATTTCCACTCGAGGTGACTCAGTATTTCCGCTTGTCTCAGTTTCATTTCTAAATCATTGAGATTCTATTTAGCATATAATTTGAATTAAAATTTCATAATGAATAGCTCTATTTTGGCTAAATTTCGATTACTTAATTAATAGCTGCCTTCCTTTGCAGACCAAGTTTAACGAGCATAAGATTCATCATTGATTTTACACTTCAAGGTACCCAGAATGCCACACACTGTAGTGCGTGACCCATAAATGTGCTGAGTAAATATTGTATCAACATTCTAGAGAATCTTTTGACTTAATTTCTTTGATTATAATGAGAAAAATCTTGACTTTTAGTTTGTTACTTGAGTTTGTTACTGGGAATCGAACTCAGGACCTTGCTCTTACCAAGTAGGCACTGCACCATTGACTTAAATTTAATGAAAGCAAATATTATTACAATAAAAAAACAAACACAGACGACAACTGGAGAGAGTGTAAATTGGCATGAAAGTTGCTTGACTTTATCAAGAATTTTCCTGCGCGTGGTGGCACATGCCCGTAATCCAAGCACTTGGGAGACTGGGACAGGAGGATCGCTGTGAGTGAGGCCAGCTTGGGCCACATCATGAGTCTGAAGATGGCCTGAATTACATGGTGAGATCTTGTCTCAACAAAATAAAATCCACAACAGAAAAAGAATTTTAGATGATTTATTCTCAATATTCATGATTTCAGTTTGTAGCAGCTGCAATTGTAGGTATTTTTAAAATTATGTGTAAATATTTGTTTAAAATGATACTTGAATATTTTATGATGAACTATAACAGGTTCTATAAAAAGTATGTTTTGAATGTATACATACATGAAAAATCCATCATATTAATGCTATTTTTTCTTTTTGGTACCAGAAGATTAAACCAAGGGCATTTACCCTGAGCTGCATCCCCAGTGGTTTTCTTTCTTGAGACAGTGTCTCCCTAAGTCACTAAACTCACCAGGCTGGGCTCACAGTTAGTTATCCTTGTGCCTCACATGTCAGATGTTGGGATTACAGGTGTGCACCGCCATACCTGTCATATTAATGTTTAGCATTAAAAAAAAATTGAAACACAGGCTCACTGTGTAGTCCCATAGTTAACAATAAGAATGATACGAGGCTGAATTATCTCTTACAGGGCTAAAAATTCTTATTTAGAAGTGTAGATTAGCACATTCATGTCTACGAGTTATAATTGAGAGCTCTTGTATTTAATATATCCTTAAAGAAGATCACATTTTTAAAAATTTGGTTTGTCAAAGAAGTAAAAGTCGACCACTTAAGCACGTAGCATTTCACTTTACAGTGAAAATTCACTTTTGCTTTATCACAATATTATCTATTTAAACAAAGGTACAATTTTTTTTAAATAGCGATAAACAACAAGTGGCCTCAACAATGAAAATCAGTACTAAGAAATTTGTTCACAGAATCTCATTTGTTGTATTCCAAAAGCTTCTCAACTTGCCTCTCAGAAGAGTTGTTTGTTTGCTGTTTGTTTTTAAAAATACTTTCCATTTGATTGTGCAAACAGGAACCCCAAGCAGTGTTCTTGACTTGCTCTTTTTTTTTTTCCTGATGTTACACATCCCACAATGAAGATTTCTTAATTCTCAGGACAAATGCTGTGGGAAGACAGAAAGCAGTCCATGCCACCATTTTTGCTTGCATAAGTTATGAAGTGTCACTGTAGCTGGTCTCTCTCTGGGTCTTTCAGTCTATCCCTGCCCCATCCCAACCGCTCCTTACCTGGATTAGCTGCAGGATCTCCGTGACTTTCCCTCACCTCAACCCCAATCTGTTGGGACAGCCTCATAATCCTCTTGGTGTGGCTCCTCCCTCCCTTTCCCACCTCATCTGTCTTCTCTCTCACACTGGCTCAGCTGAAATCACAAGAGATGGATTTCAGTTTCTCACACTTCTGTTGTTTTGCTGTAGGCCTTTCCCAGGCTTCTCCTTGTGGTGTGAACACACATCCGTCTCTCTTGCCTTTTCAAGTGGCTAAAAGCTGCCCTTGGGAAGAGTCAGTGTAGAAACCCTCTCTCTGAAAGGGCTGTGGTGATTCTCCCATGGCAGAAGCAGTGCCATCCTCTACTTCACACGGAATCTTTTCATATCAGAGTAGTAACCACCCTTACAGAGTCTTACAGACTTTCTGCTCTTGCCTAAATTTTACAGTTGCCCAGCTTTGTTACTTGAATTGCAAGCTCATGACCTGGAGCACCAAGTTATCAATAGGAACGAGGTGGTTACAGACAGATATGTGGACTGAAGGAGAAATGAGCAAGTTCAGCTTCCCAGCAAGACAAGAGAATTAAAAGAGGAAACCACACTCTTGATACTTTTTGGTGGGGACAGTCTTTGAGAATTTCAGTATTAGTAGAACACAGTGTGATAATATCCAAAAGCAGTAACCCTGGACTATCAAGAAAAACGTGTACTCAAGAAATGATGAACACTATATTTGAAAGAAATCAGCAAAATAGTTTAAATAACCTTTGGTTTAAATTCATATAAACTTATGTGTGAAAATTACTCTAGTGAATTATTCCTATAATGTTCTTTGGTAAAAGAACATCAGAATAGTAACTGTTATTCTAGATAGGTCTAATTTTGTATTTTCTCCTGCATCACAGGATGGTAAAGGATAGTTTGTGTTTTGGTATCCTGGTAAAATATTTTGAAAATATACAAAAGGTGGAATTAGTTTGTAGGATTTTTCAAGTAGAATTTCTTGGTGTTCGTTTTATTGTCTCTTTGTCTACTTTGGTGATGCTTTTGTATATAATGAAGGTATCATTGTTCCATTTATAGATGCAAATCTACTGCTTTGATGTGGACCGATTTTCAAGTTTTGAGGAAGCAGTTAAAGCAAAGGGGAGGTTAAGAGCTTTGTCCATTTTATTTGAGGTAATCACCACATAAAGATTTATAACTAACGTAATTCCTCAAAAAAAAATCTCATGGGATACTGATGTGAAATATCACGCCATACTTTGTTCCAAGTACAAGAACTCCCAACCACAATGCAACTGGTGGTCATTTTCAAAAAAGCTGACTGTCGGCTGGTATGTTTAGAAGGGGACTCAGACTCATTAAAGGGGTAGGGTTCTTTCGACTGAAACAAACCGTTCTGCAAATGTGCAGATTTGTTCATTTTTACATGCAAAGTGTATTATATGGCAGTATCTGGGTATCGTGGCATTTCAGTTTTTATTTCTTCTAGTATAAAATGTAAGAGCTATGTGGTTTTTGTTTTGTTTTTACCTAGCTATGAAGAGGAAAGTGTGTGTTTGTGACACATTGTTTTTGAAACTTAAAATGGAATTCATTAACCTTTGCATTTTTATTAAACAGTTTATCAGTTGTTTTATCTTGTCTTTAGAATGCCATTCTTCTTTGACAGGTGGGAACAGAAGAAAATTTGGATTACAAAGCAATTATTGATGGAGTGGAGAGTGTTAGTCGTTTTGGTAAGCCCTTAGAGGTTTTGGTAAACCCTTGGGACTTTACATTCATGATTCTCTCTCTGGTTCTTCGACCTTCAGACTTGCTCTGAGCCATGAAACTAGCTTGCTTGTTTCTCCAGCTGCCAGGCAACATTTAGTGTGTTTTTTCAGCCTCCATAAATGCCTGAGCCAATTTCCACAATAAATCCTCTCCCATGTATCTGTCTGTCTGTCGGTCATCCATCTATGTCCTATTTATTCTTTTTCTTTGGAGAACCCTGACTAATGCAGATACCAATAAGTTCATTGCTGTTTTCAGTGCAAGAAACCTCAAGGCTTGTTTTTTAGTCACTTTCTTATATCATCAATATTAAAAATGAGGCTGGGCATGGTGGTGCACACCTATAATTCCAGTACTTGGGAGGCTGAGGCAGGAGAATCTTTGCAAGTTTGAGACCAGCTTGGGCTACAAAGTGAGTTCAAGGCCAGTTTGAACTGCATAGTGAGACCCTGTCTCAAAAAGTCAGAAAAAAAATTAAAAATGAATTATATGATGATTCACCAATTAAATGCCAGATGGTCAAAACAGTAGATGTTTGCCAATATAACTGCCACAAAATGTCCAACAATTAAATGAAATAAAAATAAAATGGAACCCAAATTTAAAATACTCTACTTTGATGCATGACTTTTTTTACAACACAGTACAAAAACTTCACTTGTGTGAAAGGTGAAAAGAGTATGTTTTTAAAGAAGCGCAGTCTGTCACTTTTCAATACACTTTTCACTAAACAAGGGAAAATTTACCAAAAACTGCAATATAAAAATCATAGCATATTAATGTAAGTAGGAAATTGAAATGTTCTGAATTTATTCTTGCAAATTACATTATATGTTTAAAATGTATTTATTGTGTCTCTGCAGTATATATCCTTAAATAGTCTAACTTCTAATATGAAGCCAATTAATCTTATAAAAATCATATTTAAGGCAAAAAAGGATTTGCTACTCAAGTTAAACTTATGTACCGGTGGTTTCTTGATCAATTGTTTGCTTCAGTCATATAAGGGAGAAGATTTTTGCAAGAAGGTGGAAGCTTACATAAAACAAAATGCAGTGCTCTGTGACCTTGTTCTGCCCCCCTCTCATGGCTCTTGTCATTTGTCATAGTAAATGCATCTGACAGTAGGCTACAAATCCATTCTTACTGTTATTTTAATTTTTTTAAGCACTCACACAAACAGTATTACTGCTGTGCTCTGTTACCAATAAAATGAGGATTATCCCTCTCTGGGGAGGTGAAAAATTTGAAAATAGAAAAAAGACTCATGCAGATCCTTTACTTGACAGCAGAAGCCTGCCCTAGGATTGATTCATGTTTATCATTTATATGTGAGGATCTGAACTGGCCAAACTTTTAAGTCAGGAGTATGTGAACTCGTGTGGGCCAGCTTGCTTTCTTTTTGCTTTTCTTTCTCGAAATGTGTAATCGATTGCAAGATGAAGCTCACATCTTCTTCTATCCACTTAGATTGCAAAAGTCAACACTGAATACCATAAGCAACACTTAATTTCCCTCTCGTTGAGTCAGAAAATGGACACAATCCAGACTGAAAGGGGCAGCTAGTCTGAATTCCAACACTTTTTAAAAAAATGTATAAAATACGAATCCTAAATATTCCCATGCCTTGAACTACCGTGCAGTGACTACAAAAGTGATGTTAGCGTTGGGTTGTTAACCCAGACTCATAGAACTGTGGGACATTCTCCACTTTCTGTCAAGGCTTCTTTGACTATTTTGGGGGGTTCAAAAAGTGTGCTCCTAAGAGTAAATTTACCTGCGTTATTTCACTGAAGTTTCTGTGTTAATATCTTCAAGCCATTGAGGGGGTGATTCATTAGGCCCACGGCTGGCACTTACGTGGCAGTATTATTACTGTCCTGAAAATCTGGATTCCCTAAGAGCATTCCTCTGCCTATGTCCTGGCTCTTAATCAGGAAGCAGAACAATTAGTGTCTTGAACTGGCTGGAAGCACACTGGTTTGTTCTTTGTCCACCTACCTCTGCACCAACTTCCCACTCCTCTTTTAACAAAGACCAAAATCTTCCATGTCTGTAAACTCCTTGCCTCCGGATTCTTAATACTTCAGTGGATGCATCAAGGACACCAAGGCTGTCCATTTGGCAGGTGGTGGTACACGACTTGCATCCTAGTTGTTTACTAAGTTTGCTTCACCACCTTGACATTTACATTAGTTTTATATTTCAAAATACGTGTGGCCTATTTGCCAACCTGGCTTCAATCTTTGTTAGATATGACTGATCCAAACCCAAGATTAATCTTCCTAAAGTTAAACAAGTCTATTTTCATAGTTCTGGAATTAAATGTAGTCCTAATTCTGAATCCAGAAGACCCCCTAGTACACAGTAAACTGAAGGATCCCTGTTGTTGGCTGTGGGCCTTTGCTGCAGTGAACCTTGAGGATTGAGGCAGTTCATGTCTTGAGACAGAAACGCTGGGACCGCTGTCAGACGTCTAAGTCCTGCTCTGTATTCTCCGTATAGTGAGTTATCCATAAAAACAACACAAGACACATTGCAATCATAATTCTAATTATGAAATGTATCTTATAATATGAACTGATTGTTCATTTCCTATATTTGTCTCTAAGAGACAAATTCTTTTCCTTTCTTCCCCCTTACGTATTCTGTGCTCAACATTGTTCTGTCCATGGAATGGAAAGAGAAATGGTGATTTCACTGATAACAAAGATAATATATTAATATTTCCCAAGCAGCACCCACAAAGAAGAGAAATGTTAGTTGACATCATTGTAATTACAAAGAAGAGACACACACAGGTAACATTTTCAGAGATTCTCAAGTGGGTGTTCTCATCAGACTGCTTCATCGTGCTTACTTAATCTCAAATGCAGCCCAGAAATTTGTATATTTAAAAATCCTCCCACGCAGTTTTAAATATCATTGTCCTGAATAGTAAGAGTTGTTTGTATTTAGCGGCTCTTCCCTAGTGTTTAACATTATTAGGGCCCTTTCTCCCAGTCTCTCTCCTTTTTCTCCTCCCACCAGCAACCTCCCCATGGACAGATCTGAACAGCGAGTTGTTCATCGCTAGTCAGTTTAAGTGAACAGTAGCAGTGTGAATGAACAGCTGACCCCAAAGAGTAGTATTGGCTCAAATGTGATTCAGATGAAGCTGCTTGATTTGTTTTAGTTTTTTGTGTTTTTTCTCTTCCCAACACAGACACACAGACACACAGACACACAGACACACACAAAACCATAATTCAGTTTTCTCAGAAGATTATGGTATAATTGAAAAGTACTACTATAATTGAAAAGTTTCGGGATATCTGGGTCAGAACTTTATGACTAGTATTTGAAACACCATGAAACTGTCAACATGTCCATAAGGGAGACTGGACAATTAACCAATAACATGAGCTTCAAAGACAGGAAGAATGTATTCTGTGTTGGGGAGAAGAAAGAGGAAATCAAATCTCTCTCTTCTCATCCTCCCAGCTTTCCCTGCTTCAGTTTCTTTTCCCATTTTAAGAACATTCTCTACTTCTCAACCCTGTTCACGTCTCCCCTCTGCTGTCCCTTTCCCTGCCTCCAGCTATCCCGGAGTCAGTCATTTCCTGCCTAATTCAACAGTGAGTCAATTTCTGCCTCCTTATTTAGTTAGCATTTTCTGTTACTCCTATTTCTACAGGCATTTGTCTTCAGCAGAAAAAGGAACAATTGCTGTCCACTAGCAATTAAGAAGGAAGTTATTTAGTAACAAAAATTTCAGATATTAATAATGTGAGTCTAAAACTGGAAAAATATTCACAGCTTCAAAATAAATACTCACCTTACTTCCTGAGAACTTTACTTCCAGTCTGATTTTGACAGTCTTGTCTTGACATTTTAAGAGAACAGGGCATATTTTAGAAGTTACTAATTAATTATTAAACCATACATAATTTGAGTTTCCCAAGGAATTAAAATTAGCTTGTGTCAGCACAACATTGTTAATTCAAATAGGTTGCTCTTTTTGATTCATTCTTTAGTTCAGACTGGAACCAGTTATCTCTGCCTTTAATTCTTAACAGTACCTCCTAAAAATGTGATTCAAAAGCAAAAGCCTTGTGGACCTTCATTTTCCTTGGGGTTTTAGACCCTGGCTGCACATTTATGCTATGAAAATGCACGTGCCCGGCCCTGCTGCTACAGATTTTAATTCAAGTGACTTAGGGCAATGTCTGGGGCATTGGCACTATGGTAAAGCTCCCCAGATGATTCTAACGAGGGTGAAAATGCTGCAGTATACAGTGACTAGGTTGTACTGGCTTCAGGAATTATTTGGTGATGACCTCAGTCTCTTAGACAGGATCTCATGCACTGCACTGGGTAGTTAGGAGAATGCAAAAACGAGTGAGATAGATCTGGCTAGCAAGTAAATTGCTGTTTATATGAATGAGGGCTGGTCTGCCGAGAGCCAGAGGCGAAGACAGTGCTATTATCCAACACTGTTGGAAAGATTCAAAAAGTAAAACAAGACTATTTAAGAAGACAGATGCGCTTGGATTGTTTTAGGGATCTGAGGCCGAGTGCTCACTGAGGAAAGCCCCACCAGTGTTTCTGTAGGAATTCTCCAATCTGGGTGCAAATTCATGTACAAGAGCACATATTCTACACACACATTTGAGTGCATAGATATGCGTACATTTATGTGTATGCCATAGACTTGCTATATATTCCATAGATACATTTTCAACAGATATTTGTAGTAAATATATTTGCAATGGATATGAGAATATCTTTGTATATAAATGCAAATGGATAAGTGTGTATTGTGTCCAGAATACATTTTCTACTCTGAATTGCCTTTTTATTCTCTTAGTAGTGATTGTTAATCTTCATAGTCATGTACTAAAATTTATCATTTTTCTCTTTATGAGTAAGGTTTTTGTGTGCCATTTCCAGAAATTTCAACCTACCCTAATGCTATGAAAACAGTTTTCATTGCTTTTCTCTGAAAGTGTTATTATTCTATTCACTTTTAAATCTGTAAGTTATTTATGTTTGATTTGTTCTTCTAATCTACAATAGGGAGTCAACATTCACGTTTTTAATAAGGATAGCCAGTGAGTATAGCACCGTTTATTGAAAAATGCACCCATTTCACTCCACTAAGTGACTTTTCTGGTGTAGACAGAGTGGTGGAGTGATTGGGCTCTGTCTTCCCTTCTGTTGTTCTCTGATCTGCAGGCTTTGCATGGTGGATCTTACCTGGTAATAAAAATTCTCCAGCCTTTTTACTTTTCAAAATTCTCTTAACTTTCCCATGCATTTCCATTTAAATTTTAGAATCACTATATCAGTGACACACACTTACACAAACACACACACACACACACACACACAACCATATACAGGCCCTTTCAGGGTTTTAGTTAAGATGTTATTTTATTCAGAAGTTAATTTGGGGAAACCCAAACTCTTCCATAATACTAACTCCTCAAATGCATAGACATGGTATTTCTCATTTGTTTAAACTTTCATTTAACTGAAAGCTTCCCAAAATAGATGTTTTAACATCATTTATTCAGTTTACTTTTAAGTATTTGATATTTTGTTGTCATTCTTTGTCAAATTACTTTATATTTCATTTTCAGTTCTTTCATTTTCAGCCCCTTTCATACTGGTACATAAAAATGCAATTGATTTCTGTGTATTGGTCTTATATGCAATGACTTTGCTAAATTCACTTCATAATTCTAACTTAGAGAAACAGTTTCCAATAAACTATCCTTAAATATGATATTAATTTTAGGTTTTTAAAGATAATCTTCACCAGAATACGGTTTCATTTTTGTTTTTCATAAAGTAGACTTGAAACTTGTGAAAGACTAACTGTAACTATTGAGATGACTATATGATTTCTAAATATCTTTTTATAGAATAAAATATTCTCTTAAGCATTGTGCTTCAAAGATAAGGCATTTAACATTATATAGTGATATATTTAAGATAATTTGGGGTATGCCAAACTTATAAGCATTTTTATGTATGTCTAGAATGTTCCTAAAATTTCAGTTTGGATTAATATATTAGAAAGTATACATCTCTGTTTCATAGATTCTTTGAACAGTTCAGTTCCAGTGTTGAGATTCCAGCTGAGATATACATTATTACTTTGTAGGGAAGCAGGCTGCCTTAGATCCATTCGTTTTGCTGAACCTTCTGCCAAATTCCACTGACAAGTATTACATTTACAACGGCTCACTGACGTCTCCTCCTTGTACAGACACCGTTGAATGGATTGTTTTTAAAGATACAGTTAGCATCTCTGAAAGCCAGGTAATCTTGGAAATTCACATCAATGAAGTATTTGAATCAGTTTAAAAGAATAATTTTCTAGCTTTACTTATAGGGTATCTGTGATGCCTTCAAAGCAGATACGCAAATTATCTGATCTTCTTTCCAGTTGGCTGTGTTTTGTGAAGTTCTTACAATGCAACAGTCTGGCTATGTCATGTTGATGGACTACTTACAAAATAATTTTCGAGAACAGCAATATAAATTCTCGAGGCAAGTGTTTTCCTCATACACTGGAAAGGAAGAGATTCACGAAGCGGGTATGTATTGAAATATAACTTTCCTACAGGTCTTGCAGGTTCAATGTAAATGGTAATGTTTGTATGACGGAAAGTATGTAGCACTTAGAGTTCTAGAAGTATTTTGATTTTCTAGCTTTAGGTAAGTTCTTTAACCTTTTTCAATCTCAGTTACCACATCTACATTAGCACATTCAAATGTCAGTTAGAAAAAGCCTTTTTTCTTCGTATGAATAACCCCATCTTACAAATGAGAAAAACTGGGATTCTTTGAAGGAAAGTGATTTTTTCAGTACATGCAATAATGAACAGCACAGTCACATGCCCCTCTCCAAATTCACTTCCCAGCATCCTCCCGGCCTAAAAGTTGTAAGAGAGCAATGAAGAAAATACAAAGGTATTCAGAATTTGGGGAGATCGCTTCTGATTGGGGTGGCCAAGGGGGCCTCCATGGGACAACCACACTGGAGCTGAGTCTTGATGTGTTTTGGAGTTTAAAGTGCTTGTCTTTGTATTACCAGCTCTCCTAGAAGCCTAGAACCTAAAATGTGTTGAAAATGATCTCGCTGAATTATTAATGAATAAAAGTGAGTCTTCCTCCCAGTTTCTTTGGAAGGAAAGAAATTTGTCTTTGTCAGACACAGCTGAAGTTGATGATGTAGTCTGTGGTGGATTCTCGGGAGCATCCTCTGAGTCTTTTGAAGCTGACATAGCACTCAGAACACTTTTCAGAAATGTCCAGAGGACATGGTCACATGTGTCTGCCACCTCGCCCCTTCCCCTTTATACTGAGTTGTGTGGCTCAAGAAAGCAACACTTTGGGGCTGGGGATATAGCTCAGAAGCCGAAGCGCTTGACTAGAAACCCTAAGGTCATGAGTTCAATTCCCAGTACCAAAAAAACAAAGGAAAGCAAGCTTTGGGAGATGAAAGCTTGTTGAAGGAGATGGTTTTTGGTCTCAGTCCTGCACTGTATTTTTTGCCATATATAATATTAATTTAATAATCAACTTCTTTTGAAGATGAGGCATTAAAACCACATACTTGTTTTAATGTGATGTGTGTGAGAAGTGTTTGTCCTTTGACAAAAATAAATAGCAATCAAGATGACATTGATGAACAACCACATTTAATGTGACATTAAGTTTCAAATTAAATTGCCCCAAAGTGAGGAAATTTAATTATATCTCTACCCACAGTACTAACTACTATAATATCCTGTCTGAAAAATAATAGATGATTGATTACAAAAAAGAAAATGGATTAATCACCCCCTCCAAAATATGATAGGCCAAATAACAAAATGAACAAATGGGATTCTCCTTTGCCACATGCTTCCATCAGTTATATTTTTAAAAAACTCTCATTGCTTCTTATTTCTTGTATGATAAAATCAAAACTACCTCTCATTGCATGGTTGGTTCAGCCTACTGCCTCCTGTCTCAGTGCGGCTCCTCCCCGCACAGCTCCCTTCTCGAATCCTGGCGCCTTGGGACTCCCTAAGGGTGGAAGGCCGTGTTCTCCCAGGTTTCATTTAAAGTGCTGTTTCTGCCGGGCGTGGTGGTGCGTGCCTGTAATCCCAGCACTCAGGAGCCCGAAGAGGAGGGTTGCTGCGTGTTGAAGGCAAGCCTGGGCTCCATTGTAAACCTAAACTACATAGCAAGACCCTGTCTCGGAAAAGAGAAAACATGCTCTTTCTTCACAGCGGCACGCTCCTCCCTGCTGCCTTCACTTGCTTGCTTTCTCCTCACTCTTCAAGATGCAAACAGAGCATTGTTTCCACAAGGAAACGACCCCTGACCCCATCCTGCTCCCCTCTCCTGTCTGACTCTGGCCAGGCGTAAGGATTGCATTCCAGGAGGCACCAGTGACGTAGACTGCAAGATGAATAATACTGATGTCTTCCCGATGTGCTCAGGGACTCTTGCATTCTCTGCATCCAGACTTCACGACCGTTGACCAGGGCAGCTGCCCGTGTACTTATCTCCGCCACTAGACTGCGCCCCATGCAGGGAGTTACTGTCTTCTATCTCTTTACCTCTGCTGCTGAGCTAAAATAAAGCTTACATTCATTGAATATTCACTTAATGTCTGAAAGAATCCTTTTCCTGTAATGAAAACGTATCAGTTTATGCTTGATAGATGCTCCCCTGTACTTTCCAGTGTGTAAATTTGTATGCAGTCCTGAGTTAACACGGCCATTGTTGTTTTCATAGGTAAGTGCTCAGGGCTCAAAGTAGTAAAAGTAATAACAAAACTGTAATAGCTACTGTGCTTTATGTGACTTCACCAGGCATTGAACCGTAGAGTATTTACTTCCACCTGACATTACTCATTTCGTGAAACTAGGCTTGTATTTTTCATTTTACAGTTTAGGACCTGATGTTATGTGACCTATCCCTGTTTACACAGCTAAAAGGAGCAGAGTCAGTGTTTGAACCCGTGCATCCCTGATTTTAAAGTCTTCTAATGTTCACTCCACTGTGCTTTATACTTATAAAGAAACATGCTTTCAACTCACGTAATTTTATAGTAAAAGCTAACAACTGTAAAGACGTGAAACTGAAAAGAATAGTCCTACTTTCAAGTGCTTTTGTTACCCTAAGATCAAACAGAGGAACAACACTTTCTAAACTCCTTGATCCTTTGAGTTCCATAAATATATGATGGGCCCCATAAAGGGAGGGAAGCAATTTTGTTGAGTGGAGCTCCTGGCAATCAATCTTATTCTCATATACCATGTGTCTAAATTGTCGCAGAATTTCATATCCCTGTCAGAATAATAATAATTTATCACCTATTTAGTTTTGGTTTATTTCCAGAAGAATGAAAGTGGCCCAGCCAACTAGGGAGAAAAAGCTATTCAAAATAGATTCACTCATTAAATGGAAGGGACTTACAAGTGAAAAAGTTTTTAAACACATTTTACAATAGAAGTGTACCTTTCCAGGCTGTTGGCTGTGTGGCTATTCCTAGACACAGTGTTCCCCGGCTTCTTCAAGAAAGTCCACTCTGGAGTGGTTGTATTGTGACTCAGGATTTATGGGGTACAGGGGAAGAGAGGGCTACAGAATTCAGCTTCTCATTGAAACATCTGTGTACAATTTAGAAAATACTGCTCAGTGTTACTCCTTTGTATCATATATCCTTTGGATAAATAAGAGGGTTCAAAAGCTTTAATTCTAGTTTTCATTAAAGTTTTTGTCCTTAATGATCATCATTCTTATTCTGAAATTGCATAAGCAGAAGTACATTTCTTCTGCATTCTCCATTGCTGGGCCCCAAGCTCTCAGATCTTTCTGGGCTTGCTGTGGCAAGTCTGGCAGGGCTACCGTCCTCCTGCTACCTTCTTGTCTTTCCAGGGTGGAAAAATTAGTTCTGCCCAGGTCCTTACACCTGACCTGCCTATCCCCATTCCAGGAAGCCCCGCAATCAAAGGTCCTCTGTTTACCAAGACACACCTCCCTCCTTCAGAGAGGTTGGAGATTATAAAGAACACCTTATTTTTGTGTGTGTTATGTAGACTTGAATGCTTATTTATAATTCCTTAAATCTTTAGCATTTAAATTTTGGGTTTTCAATGAAGTTTGTCCACTGGAAAACCAATTATTTCAGGTGGATGAGTCTTATCTATATTTGCAGTGAAGCATTCCACCAGATGTCATGTTTATTTAATATGAGGCACAATCAAAAATAATCTGTATTTTGAATCACTTTCTGCTGAACCATCATAGTCCCTGACCTGTAGTTATGGTCCTTTTCATTTTTCTTGCTTTGCTTTAAAGGTATTTATGTGCTTACCTTACTTTCTTGCTAATCTACATTTGATTGATCTCAGTATTGTCTGTAGCACCTAATAAAGCACCTGTCCACCAGTAAGAGTCCTTTGCCCCCTTGATGAATGAGGAACAGAGGAATGAATTAACGAACAAGTCCAGGCTTACTTCTTACTTAGTCTTTGGGATTAAGAAGAGCATCGATGCTATCTTTAAATAATTAAAACCTTAGGAGTCTTCAGAAGACTATAGTAGAGCGCACACTTCCTCTTCACAATTAAAGATGGTTCCCTAGGGAAGAAATACTCTAATTTTAAAAACAATGTCATTGTCACAATAAAATTGTTATGAAGCAGTTTCTACATTTTTTTCTGAGAGAAGGGAAATAGCTAAATCACTTTCATTTTAACTTTGTTAATATTTGGTTAAATTATAATTTAGCATAATGAACATTTAGCATATCCAAATTATTATATAGTACTTTTTAGAGATCCCCATTGTATAATATTCTGCATTTAGTGAAATTAGGAAAAGTGATCTACTTGCTTTTTTTGCAGTTGAAAAAGAGAAATTGTGAATCTGCTTAAAATGTCTTAAGTTTCTGCTCGCAAGTTGGAACCATCCATGCTTTTTGTTGTTGTTGAGACAGGGTCTCGTCATGTAGCTCAGAGCACCTTAACTCACTGTGTGGCCCAGGCAGGCCTCATGCTTTTCCCATGGTGAATGCTCGTGTTTAGTAAGTGCTTGCTGTCGTTCACCGTGTGCCTAGTCCTGTAGTGGTTCATCTCTTAGTGGATATACTCTTTTTTGAAAATGAATTTGATAATTAGAATTGAGGATTGAATTTATGTTCAGGATTTACTCTTTGTTAAATTTAAACCAAAACTGAGGTTTTATTATAGAACTATTGTAAAATATACATAAGCATACAAAAGAAAATAAAAGTTCCCTATAGTATCAAAGACAACCACTATGAGGATTTTGGTGAATATCTTTCCACACTTTTCTTTTTTTTTTAACAGCAGAATATATTTATTGAGGGAAAGAAAGCTTCTGTCTGAGAGAAAGACAGAAGGGGACCCAAGTGGGTTGCCAAGGAGTGGGTTGCCAAGGACCCTGTCTTTCCTAGGGATTTTATAGTGCAGAACCACAAGGTGAAGCGGGTCCAAGGTGGAGAAAAAGTGGTAAATTGCAAGGTGAGCATGAGGTGGGATGAAACTGCGGTCAGCCAATAAGATTATGAGTA